CACACACACACACACACACACACACACACACACACACACACACACACACACACACACACACACACACACTTGCACTCCTGCAGAGCGTAACACTCAGGTTTTGTTGCTGTACATACATGGGTGTGGGGTTCCCAGTGGCCTCACAGGGCAGTGTGAGGTCCTCATGAGAGAAGGCTGTGAATGAAGTGGGCACCTGGGTCAGACTGGGTGGACTGGATACTGTCAACACAAACACAGACAGTGATTAAGTCCTCTGCAAGARACAAATGATGTTAGAGCAGATACAGCTGACAACATGCAAAAAATACTGACTACAAATGGGGTAAAAGCATAAAAARGTAATAAAACTGTAAGATTTTGAAATTACTGTGAAAGTAAAAGGCAAATGCTGAGGACTGAATGGTTTTGACATAATTTGTCAAAAAATTTAAAAATAATAAAAGCAAAATCAAAAACATGAGCAAAAACAAAATGATGATTTTTTCAAAAAGTAATCAATATTTAACCAGGTGAGTCCAGCTGATATTATTGGCCAAGAAGGTGTGTGAAAGCTGAGTGCTGAACAACTTCGCTAAAATTTGCTGAAGAAGTTGAAACTAAATTGTTCAATCTAAAAGGAGCTAAARACTAAAAATAAAATTCAGAAGTAAAACATTTTTAGCTAAATTCTGCAAGAGATTAGCAATGAGCTAAGAATATACCGTAGTGCAAARGCTGACCATAAAATAAATTCAATTGTTTTGCTGTGATGAATTAAACTGGTTCTCAGGCAGACTCACACAGTCAGCCAAATAATGATGAGCAAGTTTTTACTGTTTGCACCATGATCCTGCATGSTTCACTGGGACAGAGTCAACTTAGAAACCATAAAACACACATTATTATTGGAATGGAAGCTCCAGTGATGTCATCAGTCAACATCGACCACACATTTATCACAGAAAAACCACTTACTGTTCGGTAATTTATCTGTTTGTCCACATGACAGCAGGGAGAAGACAAAACAGAGAAGACAGTTTTAAAATCGGAGTTTACGRCTCTAAATCTGCTCATTTTGTGCCATGAAACACAACAACAGTAGGGGAGACCGGGGACAGTTGCAACACTTTTTACATTTGACTCTGTTACTCAGAGATGGTTTGAATTAGACAAAACAAATTTTAATACAATAAACTTACATCTGTCTGTTAATAGTTAAAACCATTTATAGATGATTAAAACATGTACATTCTTCACTATTTACATTTGAAAATGAAAAGTCAGATGGTGCAACTGACCCTGGGGCCGGGGACAGTTGCAACACTTTTTTACATTTGACTCTGTTACTCAGGGATGGTTTGAATTAGACAAAACAAATTTTAATACAATAAAGTTACATCTGTCTGTTAATAGTCAAAACCATTTATAGATGATTAAAACATGTACATTCTTCACTATTTGCATTTGAAAATGAAAAGTCAGATGGTGCAACTGACCCTGGGGCCGGGGACAGTTGCAACATCGTTTGCGGATGGTTACAATATATTATTAATACAATATA